CTGAGAGCCCCAGGAATCCCTCAGTCCTCTCCATCTCCATCTCTCTCAGTGATATCTTAGTATTAAATCCCTGGTCATTCTCTCCACCACAAAATGTCATCATACCAACCTGGAATCATTAATATGTGGCTTGGTTTTAACCTCTGACATTCCCAGCCCAACTTTCAAGAAAATGTGGTCTTCATGCCATTCCCATCTGGGACCTTTTAGCGTCTTTGAACCAAACACTTGGGAGGCCACGCATCACAGTGATTGAGTGAGAATCCTGGAGCCAGATGGCCTGGGTTCAAATCCCCACTCTTCCTTTGATTACCTCTGTAACCTTGGGGATATTTATGTCCCTAGGTCTCAGTTTTCTGTCTGTTTTACCAGGATGGTGGTGGTGGTGGTGGTATCTCTCTCTTTATAGAGTCATTGGGAGGATCGAGTGAGTTAAAATACAAATGTTTAAAATAGTATCTGGCACTCAATAAACATTACTACATTTTTCTATATGTCCCATGGGAAATATATCTCAAATTTAATTAATCTCTATTGCCTTCTAAGGATACATTCCAGTTGATAAGAGGGAAGGGGAGAAGCTCCAAATAATTATGAAATAGAAAATGGATTTTAAAAATTGCCATAGAAAATAGGAGGAAATTACTAACAACGTTAGGACACCCTATGCTGCATCATGCTTTCATTTACTGTGCAGGACACGGTGCTTACAGCTGCCCTCTGGAGAGACGGGGAAGGTCTAGAAACTCCATTTTATAGATGAGCAAGGAAGCCATCTGTCATGGGTCACTCAACTAGTAAAGGGACACGCTGAGACTGGAATAATGGTTTTCCGCCTGTTACCCAGACTGCAATTCAACATGTCTCTTGGTTAAAACAAACACTTGAGAAATAACCAACCAACAATCCAGTTCAACACAAAGCACTTCCGAGTTGAATACGATTCACTCTTCTTCCCTCTGTCTTTTCAACTTCTCCAGTGTGTGCAAGTTTCCAGGAACATCCATAGGAGAAGGGCATTGATTTGCTAGAGTTGGGGAAAAATAATGGGCTATATCAAAAGTAGCTTTGGTGAAGACAGCCAAGGGAAGCCTGCAGCCGACACAGGAGTATTATATGTTCTTTCTGAAGAGGGCAGTATGCAGCCAAGGCCAGGTCTGCTCACGTGCTCAGGGTTTCCTTCCAGGTCTTGAAGGCCAGAGGCAGTGTAGCCCACAGGAGCCCAGGCATCTTGGGTTTCCAAGAGCTTATTTCTGAACCACAAACACATCTTCAGACATGAAATAGGATTCTTGACGTTTGAGCACAGTTACACACTACCTTGCATCCAAGTGTACACAGTGCAAACTGATACGAAGCAGGTTATACAAGATGGATGGAAGAAATCTCAATGAGTTCTCTTTCCATGCTCTTGCACTTGTCTGCCCCCCCCAACATCGGCCTCTATGACATTAAATGACAGCACAGCAAGCCTGATGGTCTCTGATGTTTGCAGAAGAAAGTGTTTCTTTTTCTACTAAGATGTGTATGCAACAGTAGTTTCTGCTGCCTAAAGCAAAATACCTTCTCCCAAATATCCTTCGCACAGAAATAAAATGTTGAGAAGGGGGATGTTAGCTCCTGGGATGCATTTATCAAGCCAATCACAGTAATTATAATTAGAACACAAACCAAGTGAAAGCTTAGCATGAAATACATTTGCAGAAAACCTGAACTGCATACAATTAAGCCCTGCTTGGTGGCATTTTGAGGTATGCCATTAATATACTTTAGGGGTGCAGGAGATTGATTTTTTTCTTAAATACCTTTGGCTAGTTTAAAGGCTTCAGTGGCAATTAAGAAGAAAAAAGTACACACATTATTAACTGCTACACTTAGAGCTGTCAGACGGATGTCCAAGGTAGCTTTAACTTGCTGTTTAAGACACACAGTCAAGTATGTTCACTGGGCGTTAATTTAACCTAGGTCTATTCTGGGGGAGTGAAGTAGAGAATTGACAGTTGGTGGTGGGGAGGATAATATAGCTTCAATTCCTAGCCTCAGCTGTGGGAAGGCACTAAGCTAACAGGGTTGAAAATCCCTCCATGGTTCCCCATTGTCCAGAAGAGAAAATCCATTCCCTTTAGGGGCCTTCATTCAGGTGTCACCTCTTTGATTGATAAAGTCCTTACCATTTTTCTCCTCCCCTAAACCTGGTTTCTTTCAGCCATTACAACACTCATCATACTAATTTTTAACTTTATTTACGTGGTCTTTCGCCCCTGCTAGACTATGACCTCCTTAAGGTAAAAGATTTCATCTTTTTAACTGGGGCCTCTGGTACCCAGCACAAGATCCAGGACAGACTAGGTACTTGGAAAATGTTGAATGGAGAGTGATCATATAAGCAAATGAATGAATGAATGAATACTCCATCCTTTTGGGTCCAGCTGAAACCTACTCCAGTGACACCCTGTCTCTGCCTCTCAAATAGAAGTCAGATGGTTCTAGATTAGCAATCCAGAATATTTTCAAGGAAAATACAGCTTTCTATAGGAGATAGCTTAGGAGAGACAATTCAGGTTGGAGAGGATGTGTGTGAGGAGTGTGTGTGTGTGTGTGTGTGTTGAGGGCACTACTGGGCTCCTTAGAAAGCAGCCTCTGAATATAAGCACAGGCTTCACTTAGACTGTATTTGGGGGAGTAAGGTGGGAAGATATTCTAGGCCATGCCTTGGAGTATCTCCCTATTTGTTTTGGAATGGACAGGCATGGAATACTTTCTTCCCAACCTGCTTCCTATACACTGTTTAAAAATGTTTATTTTGAGATAATTGCAGATTCACATGCAGTTGTAAGAAATAATATACAGACATCCGATGTACCCTTTACCCAGTTTCTTCCAATGTTGACAAGGTCACAGCCCGGATACTGACATTGATATAATCTACCCACCTTATTCTGATATCTCCAGTTTTATGTTTTATATGCACGTGTGTGTTGGGGGGTCGGTGGGTATTGTGTCCACTTTACATTTGTGAAAACGTTTTCCCCACCTACTGGAGAGCGGGCAGGTGTCCAGTCTGCTCTACCTCTGCACTGGAGTGGGCTCCCGCAGGCATCGGTATATGCTTAAACAGATATCTTGCACACAGTAGGTGCCCAAAAGTCGCTCATATATACATGTGAACTTGAATGTTGGTGCGTACAAGAGCTCAAGTTTTAAGGTAGAAAACTGAGCCTGAAGCATTTAGTATTTTAGGGGCAAAAAGTTGGTTATTTTTCCCCACAATTGTGAATTAGCTAGCTGGCTCATTGCTCCAGACTCATCACGATGAACACGCTTCGATCGCAGAAGAGCACAGTTTTTGCGGTCCAACCCGGACCCAAGGCTGGAGCGGTGCGGGAACTCGCACTGCCCCTGGAGCTCCTCCCACCTCTACCCCCGCTTGCACCCCTTTCTTCCCTGGGGCTGGACTGTTTCACCTCGTCTCTAGGCAACCACCAGGCGCGAGGCGGGACGTCATTTCCTGAAGAGCCCGAGGAGGGGCGGGGGGTGGGGGAGAGGCAAAGGGGGGCGGGGCCAAGGCTGGGCTGGCGACAGCGACGGCGTCGGAACTCGCTGGAAGATCGGCCCCGGGCGGCTCAACAGTTCGCAAAGTCCCGGCTCGCGGCTGCGCGGCTCCGTCTGCGCGCGGGCAGTGCAGAGGCGCGGGGGGACCCCGGGCTGCTGCATCCCGGGGCGGCCCCGGACATGCCCCGCACCCTCTGCCGGACGTCCGCGCTGCACCACCTGCTGCGATTCGGGGGGTCTCCGGGACTAGAGCGCCCCCCACCCCAACTTATGACTTTGGGGTCCCCCAGCCTGAGAGGAACGGGCGGCCCGGCTAGGGGGGCCCCGGGCATGATGTGACGGGACGGTCAGTTTTGCTGCGCGCCACCCCCCCTCCAGCCACCCGTCGTCTCTGTGTCCTCCAGAATGTAGCCGCTCTCTCCGCGTTCCACTGGACTCCAGCCTCAGTCTCCGCGACCTCCGGGCTCCAGCCGCCAACTCCGTGTCCGCGGGGATCCAGCCGCCGTCTCCGCTTTGCCCGGACTCTATCCGCTGTCTCCGTGTTGTCTGGGCTCCAGCCGCCGTCTCTGCGCCCCGCGGACTCCAGTTTCACGACCCCTTCAGTCTTCGCTCGCCCGGGACTCTAGCATTGATTTCCGCGATCCCCCCAGGATTCAGGCATCGTTTCCGTGCCCCCACGCCCAGACTCTAGCCGCCGCCTCTGTATCTCCGGGCACCCAACCCCTGTCTCGGCGTCCCCCCACCCGCTCCCAGCCCCCGAACCCAGCCTCCAGCCACGGTCTCCGCGCTCCCCAGGATCCAGCTGTCGCGGCCGTGCCGGCGAGTGCAGCAGTTGCCCCACAGCGCGC